CGAAGGAAAGGGGTGGGCTCAGGGTCACTGAGAGGCGGGTCCGCTTCTAGCTCCGCCCCCTAGCGAGGGAGTGGACCAATGGGAGGCGGGCGGCGGGTGCGGCGGGCCATTGAGAGGGTGAGAGGAAGTTAGACTGTGGCCAATGAACGCGCGGCGGGAGCGAGGGGGCGGGGCCGATAGGCGCAGTGAGCTGGGGGTTTTGTTCCGGGCCCGGCGGCGGCCGCCATCTTGTGCGGAGCGGAGCGGAGCGGAGCGGAGCGGCGAGAGCGGCACCGACCCGGCCGCACCGGCCCCAGCCTCATTGGTATTAGTTTTGGATCGGGCCCCCTCCCCCGGGTCGCGCCCCTTCTGGTCAGGATCAGGACCCCATTCATCGGAGCTGGGATCGGGCCCTGCCCCCTCGACCCGGGGCCGCCCCAGAATCAGAATCAGGCCCCTGGTCCCCAGGATCGCCTCCGCCCCCCAAGCACCAGAACCCTCCAGACCTAGGGTCAGGGCCTTTTTCTCCTCACCCAGCACCGCGCACTGTCCCCTCCCCGCCCCCCCTCCCCTTACCGCTCGTCTCAGGATTGGGACCCACCAGACCTGCATCGGGGCCACCTCGCCAGCATCATGCCCTCCTGACGGCTAAGGTCGGGCCTCCTAGGATTGGGGCAGAAACCCCCACCCCTCTTCCTCCTCGGCATTGAAGGGGTCCCCAAGAACTTTCAGGATCAGGCCCAGCCTGCCCCTCCCTGTAACCTTTTCCTTTGGTATTTCCCCCAAACTTCTCAGGATCAGGCCCCTTCTGATCCAAAACAGACTTGCATCCCCCTCCCCACAGGAGTGGGTCTCTCTTCCTCCTCCATGTAACTGGGAAACAGGCTCCTCCACAGGATGCACCCCCCCCCCATCCCAGAATTTGCCTTTTCCTTGGGTCTAGCTCCTTCCCCCCCCCCCAATATGGACCCCAGGATCAGGCCCTGCTTCCTCCCCAGTAGCACAGAATGACCCCCCTCAAAGGACCCAGCCCCTCCCCATCTCATCCCTGGGCCTGTCCATGGATCCCAAGACTTCCTAAGTTGGGGATCCCCTGACCTGACTCAGCCCCACCCCTACCTTGGCAGCCTGGGGGAGAATCTGGGGGGCAGCAGACTAGGGGCTATGGGACAGGACCTAGTTCTTTAGGTTCACAGGGCAGCTCGTAGCCCAGATGCCAGGATACTCTGGGAGGAGATTAGGAGCTGGAAGTAAGAGCAGGAGGGGCTGGGAGCTGGATGCCTGGGTTCTCCCCCAGCTCAGGAAGAGAGCAGGGTCCAGTGTGGTCCTGACTTGGGGTGGGAGAGGCCTGGGGTCTTGGATGCTTTGTTTCTGGTCTCTGCCTAGAAACCTGGGGGCCAGGGCGGGACCCCAGATACCTGGGTTCTATCCATGTTCCTGTCACTGCCTTCCCCAGCCCCTCAGGAGGTTCTCTGAATCCATGGCCCCAGCTGCTCCCCCCTCCCCTGCCAGGTGACTTGGGGGTTGGGGACTGTGGGCGCTGTCCCTTTCCTAAATACCAGGCAGAACCCAGGCATCTGCATTTCTAGTTTGCCGCCCTAGTCCAGTTCTGGAAACAAGTGTAGTCGGATGAGTCAGAACCCAGGTGTCCAGGCTCCGAGTTCCCCTCAGCACCCACCACGGTCCCAGAGAACCCAGGGGTCTGGGCTCCTAGCCCCCTCCCAGAATGGCCAGCAAACCCAGGCATCTGGGCAATCCCCCCCTAATACCAGGTTTTCTTCATGTGCAGATAGTCACCCCCTGGGGAAATGCTATTGTTACTCCCTGCCTCCACCCTGGGCTCCTCCTGCTCCCCCTGGGTCCTTCCTGCTTCTACCAGGCCCCAAATGCAGTGGGTTCTAGGTGGGGAGCATCAGTGCCAGCCTCCAAAAATACACATT